AGCAATCGTCCCCACTGAGTTTGCCTGACCAACTCTCTGTTTTGCTTATTACCAAAATTAGTCCCACCGAGTTTGTGTAATCGGTCAAACCGAGATGAGGTTTTACCCTAACCCTAGCACATCGGTCCCACCGAGTTGATCATATCGGTCTCACCAAAATGCCTAACGGACACATTATGAACTGAATCGGTCTGACCGAGTTTCATTATTCGGTCCCATCGAGTTTGGTGATTTGTGTGTAACGGCCAGATTTTGTGTGGAGGCTATATACACCCCTCCACCCACTCTTCATTTGTGGAGAGAGCCATCAAAACATGCCTACACTTCCAACATTCAATTTCTGAGAGAGAACTACCTACTCATGTGTTGAGACCAAGATATTCCACTCCAACCATATGAATCTTGATCTCTAAGCCTTCTCCAAGTTGCTTTCCACTCAAATCTTCTTTTCACCAAATCCAAATCAGTGAGAGAGAGTTGAATGTTGAGGAGACTATCATTTGAAGCACAAGAGCAAGGAGTTCATCATCAACACACCATTTATTACCTTTTGGAGAGTGGTGTCTCCTAGATTGGTTAGGTGTCACTTGGGAGCCTCCGTCAAGATTGTGGAGTTGAACCAAGGAGTTTGTACGGGCAAGGATATCGCCTACTTTGTGAAGATCTATCCTAGTGAGGCAATTCCTTCGTGGGCGATGGCCATGGTGGGATAGACAAGGTCTTCTTCGTGGACCCTTCGTGGGTGGAGCCCTCTGTGGACTCACACAACCATTACCCTTCGTGGGTTGAAGTCTCCATCAACGTGGATGTACGATAGCACCACCTATCGGAACCACGCCAAAAATCTCCGTGTCTCCAATTGCGTTTGCACACTCCAATCCCATCCCTTTACTTTCTTGCAAATTGCATGCTTTACTTTCTGTTGCTCATATACTCTTGTCATGCTTGCTTGAAATGTATTGTGAATGTTTAAACTTGTTCTAAAACTCTACCTTAACTTGAAGAAAATAAAAACTGCAACTTTTCTTTGTTAGGAGTCTATTCACCCCCCTCTAGACACCTTTTCTCGATCCTTTCAATTGGTATCAGAACATTGGTCTCCATTGCTTTGGTTTCAACACCTTTGGAGGAAGATGGATGAGTCTACGTTGAGGAGTCTTAGATGTAGAGTGCTTATACTTGATGGAGAGTTCTTTCATGAGTGGAAAATTGAGATGCTTGATATTTTCAATGAATATCATTTGAACAAGTATATTACTAGCTCTTGTGCACCTCATGTTGATCCTTTGCATCCTATCCTTGATGAGTCTATTGAGATGATCCATAATCTTAGAACTGTCAATTTAATCACTAGAGGATTGCATAGAAACTTGTTTGCTAGCTTGCCTGCTCTTGATTGTGCTTACGCCGATTTCTTGAGGAACGACTCCCAAACTATTTCTTGCAAAACTTGGATGAAATTCTTCATATGTCTATTGCGTTGAGTAAGATGAGTTGTTTTCGACCTCAACACTAGATTGGATGCCCAGGATATTTATACACCCTTGTAATACGTGGCTTTTAGAGTTAGGCCATGTTATACCTGAAACTAGAACTTCTGTTGAATTGTTGTAAGCATTCATCTGAAATCGTATATTCCTCTTTGCATCGATCAGGGATATTTACCCACTCCAAGTTTGTTTCAATCTAGAGTTTTACTACCTCAAGGCAAGTGTAATATGTCGTTCCACTTGGAATTGGTTGATTACCAACCGCTTCGTGGTCGGCGGCGACGTGCGCAAGTGTGTGGTGTTGCGAATATCCATAGGGTTGAAGATCCGCCGCATTGGCAACAGAGGAACTATCACAGAGTTTATGAGCGTCTCGCAAATTATCCAACCAATTCGTCATCGACATCATCAGCTCACTAAGAAGATCAAGCAACCCCTTATCACCACCCCCCAGTGTACTTCCCACCCCCGTATCACGCACACGAGAGAGAGGCGGAGTCACCAGTATGCCTCCTTCGTAGGGTGCTCCTTCACGAGACGCGGCGGTCGATCGACGTCGTCGGCCCCGATGGAAACAACACATTTTCATCTTGCCGTCACTCGGCACGCGGTCACCGGGATTGCAGCATGTTGGCTCCAGCTTTTGCCCTTTACGATTGCAGCTCTCCCATTGGCCGGTTCCAACGTGCATTCACTATGGTTGCCGCATTCCCAGTGTCACCTCCTACGGCTCACTGCCGTCGTCGGTTTGCACCACCATGTTCCAGCAAAAAAAATTCCTAGCGACAAAACTCATGTAGTCGTTGGTCGCAAGAAAAAATTGTAAATAAGTTTTACTATATAATTAACACCGAATATTTTACATTTTATGACTATTTGTTGAGATTATGATGATTTTTAGACTCAATTGTACTATATGCAGCGTAAGAGCATCTCCAACAGCCGTGCGACGTGCTAAAAAAGCGTTTGTAGCGCGTGGTTCGCGAGTTTTTGCACGGTGCGGAGCGCTTGCTCCAGCGGCCGCTGCAAAGTTTAGCGCGCGAGCCGCTCCAGCAGCCGCTGCAAAAAAACCGCACGCGCTCACGCACAAACAACATATGCACTCCAAACACAACCAAGAAGATCAAACACAAACAAAAGAAATCAACAATAAATAGTTCAATTTCATTATTACAACTCAAACAAATAGTTTATCTTGCAATAGACCAAATACTTCAACAATACAACATCAAACGCATAAATCATGATGCCCTTTGTCGGCCATTCCATGCCCATCACTCATCAGTGAGATCCTTCTGAAGATCATCATGTGTTTCGGCATGTCGAATGGCATGATAGGAGGCAACAAAATGGGCCACCCTGGCAGCCCTCCGCCGCACTCGCACGGAATGTCCTGAGAGCTCATACTGAGAGTGGTCTAAATCTTGGCCACGCTCATGATCACACAAGCGTGCATGATGTATCAAAGCATCTTTTGATCCTAAAATCTAGCCGGTCCTCTCACAATAGCAAATTGGGCTTGCAAAATCCCAAAAGCTCTCTCCACATCTTTTCTAGCCGCCGCCTGAGCATTGTGGAAATCAAGATTTTTCTTACCTTTCGGTTTTTTCAACGGCTTCACAAATGTTTGCCACTTTGGGTAGATGACATCCGCAAGATAGTAGCCATAGTTGTATGTATGGCCATTTGCTACAAACTGCACCGGTGGCAGTTCACCATTTGCAATCTTATTCATCAGTGGTGACCGATAAACAATGTTGATGTCATTCAAAGATCCAGGCATTTGAAAAAAAGCATGCCAAATCCAAATCTCTTGATCGGCCACCGCTTCAAGGATTATAGTGGAACCCTTTTTTGGCCGTGGAATTTCCCATGCCATGCCTTAGGACAATTCTTCCAACTCCAATGCATGCAATCTATTAAGTCAAGCATATCTGGGAAGTCGCGAGCTTTGTTCATCTCCAATAGCCTTGCGGCGTCTTCAACATTGGGAGATCTCAAATACTCCTGGCCAAACACTTGCACAATTCCGACTGCGAAGCGCTTGACACACATTATGTCTTGACTCTCACCCATGGCCAAGTGGTCATCAACTAGATCAGCAGGAATACCGTATGCCAACATACGCAAAGCGGCTGTCACCTTCTGAAAGGTGCTATGCCCGAGCTCTCCGGTGACATTCCTCCTTTGCTGAAAAAACCGGTCATGGCTCGCTAGTTTCTCTGCAATGCGCCTGAACAACTCGGTGCTCATCTTAAACCGGCGCCGGAAGTACGACTCAGGGTACACGGGATTATCCGCAAAATAGCGCCTTGTCAATCTGTTGTGGGCATCGATCCTATCTCTTCAAATTTTCTGTCGATCCATAACCGAATCACCGTGCTTCGGTTTTTTATTGATGTGCATAGCTAGGATCATAACAAGATCCTCCTCCTCTTCAATATCAAATTCTTCTTCGGAAGAATCATATGACGAACTCATCTACAATGTTCAATTTAAACTAGGCTATAAAAAACTACAAACAACATGCACCAAATTCATGTAAAAAATGTCAAGTTGAAGCAATACATACCTTGCAAGCGTTTTGTCGAACACCTTGTGGGCGCCGAGCGGTAGTGAGCGGTCAGGCGTTGTTCGTCGAAGGAATGGCACGCGCGAGGGGCGACGGCGACTGGAGGGAGGAGGAAGCGGCAGCTGCGTGGGTATAGGCCGGGAAAGCGCCGGAATGGTCGTCGGAACAAATGGGGTGGTGCGGGCGGCGGCGCTAACGCCTGGGTCAGGGTAGATGGAAGTCGCGAGCGGACGCTCGAGTGTGTGGCGCGCGGTAGCAGGCGCAGCAAATAAATGGCGCGCGATGGCGTTTCAGACCACGCCCTGAACTCTATATGCCGCGCGCGGGGTTTTTGCGTGTTCGTTGGAGCTCGCTTAGCGATTACGCGCGTGCTAAAAACCACAAATTTCCGGCGCGGCGCTTATATAGTGCGGCTGTTGGAGATGCTCTAAATATTGAATGGCGCCCCAAGCAGAGATTCTAGGGCATCGCCTGCGGTGGGGCTGATCAAGTGGGCTACGCTACCGGGCCAGGCAGTTACGGGCTTCCTTACATACATGGAAGGCCCAGGCCTTCCACTAGGGCATACTATATCACCGTCAGTTTTCTTTCCTTACAAGCAGGAGGTTAAGGAAACAGATTGCAGCAGGTGGTGGAATCAATTGACAAAAGGTTATAAAATTTGCAAAAAGGAAATAAAAAACACAATGCAGTTATCATTTGAATCTTGTTCAAAGGGGTGAGTTCTTAATGGAATAGATATGCAGTGTCTTCTGCATATTCCACAAAAAATGTACACCCCCAACACATGTATAACTTCAAACCCAGAACACCTGTCTATACAGTGTAGACTAAACTAAAAAAAAAACAGAAGAGAAAAATCATCCAAAACAAGGGGTAACCAGGCAAGGCATACACCAAGCCGCAAAACCATATGTATATGTAGCCACTATTTGTGGCTAAACCTTCCGACCTGTCATCCAGTATCCAACAAGAACAGATAACAGGAAGACGAAGAGCACAAACGTACGTGAGAAACCCCCAAGAGACTGCCTTCTCTCGCTAAGCTGTTCCTGAAAATGAAGCAGCGTTTACTAGGATTAGATATCAGAATACAAAATCATAATGTCTAGCAACAGAGTTTGGTTTGGAAAAGCAAACAAGTTAACTTTTTTCCATTAATGTATTATGATAGTAGGAGATATTATTTTCTTTTGGCAGAACTCCTGTCAACTTCTTTTGATCTTTTCGTGTTGTGTTATGATAGTCTGGAGATATTATATCAGGTTTGGCAGGAGTTACCAGACTGATCAGGTTACTTTCTTGCAAAATTAGTTATGTCTGCAATATAATTGTGCGGGCAATACACATCAAGATTTACCCAGTTTCTCTGCATAACTTGGATGATAAATTGATCTCTTTCATCATTTCTTAAAAAAATGCAACATGTTTTCAGGATAAAGATTTTGGGGAGAAGTGACACAGCCACATAATACTTATATGGAAATAGTGTCAATATATCCTCATTAGATGAGAAGTCATACCAGCTCTTGTTGAAGCTTCTTGTTTTCAGCCACATATTTAACAACTTCTGACTTTACCGTAGAGGCGTCCTAAAGAATCACAGCAGATCAATAATCTCAGAAACATAAATTTGCTCGGGAACTTTTAAGATGGTATAAACATAATAATAGAAACGAAAATTCTATCAATGTAGACGAGCATTAATAAACATTAGATATCACTGTCATACCAACAATGGCACGGAGAGGGGCATTTAAGAAATATGAGATTAGCTACTACAATTCTCTTCAAACAATAAAAATCCTAGTCGATTGGTAGGTTACATGGCAAGAGTCTGTAGCTTGCAAGCATATGACAGTGCTAAACTAGAGCTAAATATCGCCATTCCAAATAGCGACAAGTAATATGGATCGGAGGGAGTACATTTTTTTAAGCATAATAATTTGATGAAGATAAACATCCAAGCAGAATAATAGTGCAAAGCACAGTGTATCACTGAGTAATGTACTGCACATTTGATGTTGTTATGTGCAACAACAGGTATTTAGACACAATGTTCTGTCACTGACAGATGCAAGAACATAGCAATGCTGTTTTCAGTGGAACAAACAGTCACCTTGTCATGTGAAGCTTGTGGTCCAGATGCATATTCTTGCCTAGATGCCTGAAAAGGAAGAGAGCACACCAACCATCATTAGGATTTAGGAACAAACATGGCATCATATCTTACAGCATCAAGCAGCAATGGCACCACTTACAGCATCGATCATGGATTGTCTAAACACTTCATGGTCGACCTCCATATCTGCAATCTCTTCCTCGTCTCCCTCAGGCACCGGTGAGGGGGGATTTGCAGGGATGTAGATCACCCGCAGCTTGAACTCCTCCACCACCCTGCCAGGCGCTCTGCCGAACTACAAACCATAACACTCACATTACAGCTCACACAAACGACACAATCAATCAACATCCACGGGGTCGGCCTCGGGTGCTGCAAGAACTTACCATCTCAGGGACAATGTCCTTATGCGTTACCCCTTCCTGCACTATGACGCTTTGAATGAGGAACTTGTCCTTGCATTGGTAATCCTGCGGGATCTCCTTGGGTGCCTGCATCGTAACTAGAACAGGCAACAATGCCACATGAGTGGCTCATCAACCAATCAAGTAACAATAACGCATCTAATGCAGCAAAGTGGACGCACTTGTGATACCGCAGGATCCCCCTGGCGGCACGATGCCGGAGGTAGGCCGCACTGCGTACTTTTTGGGGTTAGTTGTTTTCACCTGCACATTGAGCATCGCATAGGAAATCCGTCAGCAAGATACCTCCAGAATATCACACTGCAGGTTTCAGAACTCAGAACAAAACCGTGGCAAAAATCCCCACCTTGAAAGCTACACGCTGATCGGTCTTGTTGACGAGCTCGATGCATCCTGAATTCGACTTCCTGAGCTCAACTGCTCGGAACATCGACACATGAACGATCCGATCAGTCCCCACAGGCCAATAGGGATCAAGAAACAGCAGAAACTAGCTGAGGGCAGGTGCCGGAAGCAACTTACATGGCATCTTGAGCTCGGAAGGGTAGATTCGGAGCAGCGTATTACTCATCGTGCCGGCAAACGAAACGACGACCGGAGGGAGAGTCGGGACCAAACACCAAAGATTCTCCTCCTTTTCACTCGCCGGCAGAGTCGCGAGGACGATCCAAGAACGTCGTTTCCTGCTCTAGAAGCAAAGCACCAAGAGGCGGCCGGCGGAGGCTATCCTCTTCTTTCCGGCTATGAAGGGCGAAGCAGGGGAAGGGCAGAGGATTTGTCGATGGGGGAGAGGGGGCGTATCGGAGGAGGGGAGGAATTCGGGCTGGCGCAGACAGAGGATTGATGGATGGATTAGGCGGTTTCGGTTGGGAAACACTGGCGATTGGCTGATTGATTGATTGATGGATGGATTGGGAGCGGTTGCGTCGTGGGCAATCCGGGGTTCTTCTTTCTTGGTTCCCTTTTATCTGTAGCGCGCCTTGCGTTGCGTTGCGTTGGTTGAGGAGTTTATAATAGTAGCTGGGTTCGGGCAACGGCGGCGGAGCCGGGTTTGCCAGTTGGGATTGGCCGGACACGGCACCCACGTCGCCGCCCGGGAAAGGATCCTATATCTTTTCTTCCCCTTTGTCCTCTCCAACTCCGACCGACGCCCGCGCCCACCTTTTCATAACATTAACAACTTTTGATTTTGCTAAAACACATAGATGTACTCTATATATTGCACATATAAATCCCTAAAATACAATTTCTGTTAAACTGAGACGGATTTGCCATACTCGTCAACTAAATTTATCACCCTGGACGAATGTAATGTAATTTGCCATGAAAAATGATCGACTTTTCTTGCCTACAAATCTGACTCGATATTCAGGTCCTTATAACAATTAATTAAGGTAACATGTCCTGCCAAAACGTACCAACAGGGAACGTGGTTGCGAGTCCGTGAGCTGAGGTGCAGGAGCCACTGATCATCTGATCAAACACATGAATTCTACCCTAAAAAAGGATGAACTCTACGCTGGAAGCTATTTAGTTTCTGAAAATAGCTGGCTACCAAACCGCACCGAAAGGGTACCAAACCGACCAATGAACTGCCAGGCAAGCATCATCGGAACAATCAGTACAAATGATGCGGCGTTAGGTCATCAACTTATCATCACTCAGATCTGAGGCTTCTACGCCGGAAACGAGCTTGTTCAGCTACCGTCGTCCACTTTCTCCAAGGACATGCCACGGTCAAACAAGTCCAGAATTGTTACTGTAGCTGATTATGAGTGTTGCTGAAATATCAAAGGTCTTGAGGCAAAACAGTACAAAAATGCCGCGATCGCTCCTTGTTTTCTCATCCGGGATTGTCGCCACTCGCCAGTGGATGCAGACAGTTGCAACCTCTTGCTCCCCGGCCGATTCCCACTCGCTTTCAACATTTGGATACACCACCTGCCATCGATTACTTTCTTCTGTGAGATCTCCCAGAAGCAAGCTGAAACAACATCCTAGTTCTGAGAAGACTCTTTCTTGATCGAGAGGAACAGACTAATATAACTGGATGACTGGTGCCATTTTCTGAGAGGAGCCTCCTGCAGCTGATAGCACTTCTTAAACCTCTCTAGTGTAACCTGGCAAATCAAATTGGCATGGAATATATCTAGCATATACTGCTAGCAGCATATCCATTTTACAAAGATTTTTGTACTACTGTATAGGCAACTATGATGTGAACATTCACTGAAGAAGAACTGTCTACCCATGATGAGGGTAAGAACACCTGGGATCTAAAAACCAATGTTTCCAATGCACTCAGCCTAAGCAACGTAAATCTAGCTAGCACCTGGCGTGATGAAGGAAGAGTAATCATGTTAGGACATCAGTACTGCTGCTAGTTGTCAATTGTCATTTGCAATAACTGAAAGGTGAAGAAACCACCATCCACCAACAATTGTACTCATATAAAAGTGTTCATAAAAGTGCTCATAAAAAAGCAACTGGCTTCAATATATCCTTCATGTTCATGGCACATGGCATGCTCATCAGTTCAAGCACTAGCAAAAACATGTGTGCTCACAAATGTGAATCAATTGCAACAAAAAATGCACTTGTGTGACAGTGATGCGAATGACCAAAAACATGCAAGAACTAGCATACAAGAAAGCTGGTGCGGCCGCACAAGAATCTCAAGATCAAGTTGCTGAGCCAGGCCTCCAGCACGCCGAGCCAAGCGCCGGCGAGCACATCGAGAATGTAGTGCCGGCCCAGAAGCACCCTTGACGCCGAAGTCGCGGCCGCCCAGAGGAACAGCAGCTCGCGAGGGAGAGGGAGGCCCCCGTCCGCGAGGAAGGCGGCGACGAGGAAGGCGCGCGAGGAGTGACCGCTGGGGAAGGACCAGTGGTCAACGGAGACGGCGACATACATGTCCGCGGCGTTGTATGCCGGGCGCGGACGGCGGACGATGAGCTTGGCGAGGCCGACGAAGGCGAGGTCGAGCACCAGGCCCACGACGAGGCCGACGAGGAGAGGGGAGACCACGGACGAGGTGGTGGTGGAGATCAGCAGCAGGGAGATGGGGACGGGGAGCCAGATGCGCCCGTCGCCGGCGACCTCGAAGGCCTTGAGGAGGAGGCGGGGCACCGGGAGGAAGAGGGCGTGGAGGCGGAGGGACACGGCCGCGTCCAGATCCCCAACGCCGCCCAGGAGAGTGGACTTGGACAGCGCCTGCGGTGCGTGGGCGTTCGCCGGTGGCGAGGCGGATGCGGAAGCCATGCGCGCCGGCAGAGGCGAAGGGTCGGCACAGGTGTCTGTCGGTCGGTTCCCCCCTCTATGATTTTGCTCTTTGGCCTACGAGATCCGGAGGATTGGAAAGGGGTTTATCTGAATATTAAGGGCCGCTTTGACGCTATGCATCCTTTTCAAAGAAGAATTTGAAGTCTAATTCCAGTTTTCTTTGAAAGGATCATATTTATTATAAAAGATTCGTCCGGAGTAAGAGGTACCTTAAACATAACAAAAATAACATTGAGATTTCGAGACCACCGAACGACCTTCACTGCCGCCAAAATAAGCCATCGACGTGCTGCTGTCACTGTTCCCCACCGAAGCCTGTCGATGATAGTTCCACGTGTCCCTAAGGACCAATGCGAGCCGTAGTCATCGTCGTTGAACCATGCATAGATCTTAATCATCTGACACCAAATCTCGCCACATGACGAGAAACTGTAACCACACCGCCCCAAGGAGATGGCAAAAATCTACACTAAAGCTCGTCGACTATATCTAAACAGACGAATCTCGAGAAGGGTCGAAGCCCGGAAGACAAACTCCAAGAAGAAGCGCCGTCCTCTACCCTAGCATTACACCAGCAAGGACTAAAAAAACCCTAGCCTAAACTACTAACCGGAACGGAGGCAACGGGGTTCTCCTCTCCGCAACCGGCCTCCACCTAGGGCTACAGGAGGAAATGTTACTATAGTGTGATTCCATAGAAACCCAACCAACCACAAGCCTTCAAAAATGTCCTTAGAGTAGTGGCTCATTAGGATAAGCTGACCAAATCATGGTAAACTATTGTTTAGAGGAAGATCTGACGGCTAGAAACTAATTAAAACGTCATCCAACGACCAAAAACATAGAAGACGTGAGAGAGCTCGCATTAGGCTATCCTAAAATTCCGGTTGAGTACCATTCATTTGAAGTCCTATGTATCATTCATTTCGAAGGCTAATTCCAGTCGAGTAATTTCAAAGTATATCTCATTTTACCATGGCGCTCTTGTTTTGCATGATTTAATTTTGATCACTAATAGTTAATAATATAAGTGTTATATGTTATACAATTATAGCATTGGAAACTTTCTTAAAATACAAATCCAATGGTACAATTTTTGTGAGGCATATTTAGTTAGTCAAAATGGTTAGACTTTGTTTTCAAAATGTGTGTGCGCGCTTGATGCCTACTACGCAATTTTTATTTTTGTAGACTCAGTTGGGTCTCCAAGCACAGAGTTTTGTAGGACAGCCGCAATTTTTTCTCAAGTGAATGATTGTGACGCCCGGATATTTAAGCTACAGTAATTTCTGCTAACAATGCCACATCACCACGATTACTGTTGTTAATCTTGCGATGATTCTACCCCGTTCAAATTCAAAATTCAAATTCTAGATAAACGATAAAAGATTTCAAAATATTAAACTAAAATGTTCGGTTTGTACTAAATATTACATAGATAATTATGGTGTAGAAGATACAGTTTTATAAAATGCATAAATATTTTAAATTAAACTAAAACAGAAAAGTGAAATAAATAAAAGAAAAGATTAAAACCAGAAAACAAAAGAACAAAAAAAAATTAGAAAGAGAACCCCCCCTCTCCCATGGGCCAGGAGGCCCAACTAGCCACACAGCCGGCCAGCCCAGCAACCGGCCGGCCCAAACCCCACTC